ATAAAATTTGTTTTGTGTTAAGTTCTAAGGAGAAAACATAAAGCAGGAAGGGGGATATGGAATCTGATATGGTGTGTTTGTGTGCATGTGTGTATAAATCTTATATAGGGTGGCCAATCACTGAATGAAGGTTGTAAGCGTTTTAATATAGGTCTAAGATTTTGGAGGTCTGATTCAAGTGATGGGAGGAAGGGCCCTTCCATAGCCTTTGGGAGGAACCACTAGACCCGAGGGGCTGTTCTGTCTTGTGTTAGGCCACAGGCAAAAGAGGTATGGAATATCATCTAGAACTGTTGGCTTTTCCTATCATAGATACAGAATCACAAAAACAGAAAGTGAAACTATTAAAAAATATCTACAGAAATCTTCTTTTCCTTGTAACTATTAGAAAGGTAGAACAAAGGTGCTCAGTCACTCCCAGTTAACACTTAACGATTATGTCTCTGTAGAAAGGAATAGCTGATTGCTATCATGTTGTTAGATGCAGAAATAAAAAAAGCCTTTTCCTCCAGCCAGACTTTAGGCTATGAAGCAGCTGGGGGAGAGGTCCACTGACATATATTTGGTCAGATTGTCATGCCTTTGGCCACCTTCCTGACTGAAGCCGTTGCCTTTTCTTAGAAGAGTTTCTATCTAGACCCTGTCTGGAGTTACTCCTCTAACTGATGGTGGATGAGGCTTTTTTTTTTTTGAGTTGGGGTCTCATCCTGTTGCCCAGACTGGAGTACAGTGGCACAATCATGGCTCACTGCAACCCTGACCTCTTGGGCTCAGGCAATTCTTTCACCTCAGCCTCCTGAGCAGCGGGGATTACAGGTGTGTGCCACCACACCTGACTAATTAAAAAGATTATTTTTTTTTTTTGTAGAGACAGGTCTTGCCATGTTGCTCAGGCTGGTCTTGAACTCCTGCGTTCAAGCAGTCCTTGCCTTAGCCTCCCAAAGTGCTGGGATTACAGGCCCAGCCTGATCGAGGCATTCTTTCTTTTTTTCTTTTCTTTTCTTTTCTTTTTTTGAGTCAGAGTCTCACTGTCACCCAGGCTGGAGTGCAGTGGCACGCTCATGACTACTGCAGCCTCGAC